AAGATAATTTAAACAAAAAAATCTTAGGAGATCACAAATCATTGGGATTCATAAGAAACTTCATTAAAGTTAAGGAAAAGGTTGATGTAGAAATAATCAGTTCTATGTTATACAACTGTACAAATAGTTACATCAGATAAATTGAAAACTTAAAATGTACTTGAAGAATAATTCTAGTGAGATCTTCAAGATCTTTAAGTGAAAATTTATAAAACTTTAGAGTCATATTTTAAAAATCTAAATATGTTGGTGATAACCATATTTATAAATGGAAAAACAGAATATTATAAAAACCCCAGTTCTCTTCAAACTGATCTGTGGATTACATGCAATTCTGATCTAAAAGTCACAAAATATATTTATAGAACATGACAGACTATTTCTAATATTTGTAAAAAGAAAATGTCAAGAATATCCAAGACAAACATTATTTATAAGGTATTAAAATTTATGATAAATTTACTAAATCAGAAGTATATGACAACAGCCTATTAACAGATAAAAATAACCAATGAACAAAGGAGACAGCTCAGAGGAAGACCTATGACCATGTTATGCTTGCATAGAACCAATGAGTGGGGAAAATGAACTACATCATGTATGAAATTGAGGAAATCAATTACCTATATTAAAATTTGCAGTAAGATCTCTGTATAGCAACTCACTAAAATTTCATGAGAATTAAAATTCTAAATGTGGAGAAATAAAATCTATTTATAGAAAAATACATAACAAGTATTTCATAGGGAGGAGTGCGATTTCTTGAATTGGACACAAAATGCCTAAACTGTAAAAGAGTTTGTTTACCTAAAGTAGAATTTAAAAATTCTGCCTGATAAAACACCATAGTGTAAAAGGAAACAAGTCTCAGACAAAGTATGCATTTATGTGAGAAACTATAAGTATACAAAAGGCAAAATAATTCTTACCAATCAATCCAAGGAAGCAAATAACCTAAGAGAAAAATGCATAAAATATAAAACAAGTCATAGTGGTAGAAATGTAAATGCAAAAAAAACACAAATAATGTTTAACTTCTCTATAAATGATAAGCAATACGCTAACATAGAACTAATACCAATGCAAAGGAAGAGAGGAAAGAGGGAAATGAAGAGGAAAGAAAGAAAGCCTGGAATTATACAATGTTGGTGGGGGTGTAGAGAAATGACATTTCCCATATAATAAGATGACAGTTTAAATTAGAAAACCATTTTGGAGGCTATTTGATAATACATAGAAAGTTAAAGACAAATATGTACTCTAGAGAAACTCTCGACTATGGAATTAAGGACTGGTACGCAAAATGACAGCGCAGAAACATTAACAAGAATGAAGAACTGGAAATAACCTAAACGCCCCCAAGAAGTACTGATAAATAGACCATGACATGGTCATAGAACGAATGAAAGACAATGTGAACACTTTACTGTCAACACAGACAAATCTAAACATCCAGTGCTTCACTAGCCAAAAGCAAGCTGCAAAAATGTACCATTTTATAAATTTTAGTAAACTGCCAAATAGTACTAAAGATATATAGGTAGATATAGTAAAAGCATGAACACACCCATGGTGACGATAAACATAAAATGTTAAAAATGACTATCATTGGAGAGGTGAGAAGCCTGGGATGGATGAAACACTTGATTTTTATACCAGAAATATCTTATAATAATATTTACAAAGAAGGAAGAGATTTTCAAGTTTTGTGTTGAGTGCTACCGAGAGTCTGAGCAAAGGCAAGGCTGCAAAGTGTAGGCTCCATCGGCTCCTCCAAAGCAGATGATGCCTGTAGTCTAAGATCTATTTTCTTTGTCTAACAGCATAACTCTACAAACACCTTGATTATTGATGATCTATCCTTAGGGGTCCCCAAAGTTAGCATCTCTGAGTAACAAACTGTTTCCTCAGCTGTTTCAGAGGGTCAGGATTTCAGGAATGATACAATGAGTGGCTCTCGCTTAGGATCGTTTCTGAGGTTGCAGTCAGGGTGTTGGCTTAGGCTTCAGGGACCTCAGGGTTTGCATGGTGCTGGAGGAGCTACCCAGTGTGGCTCAAATTGACAAGCTGGCTCTGACCTGGAGGCCTCCGTTCCTCAGTATCTGAGCACCCTCATTGTCCTTGTAACATAGTTGCTGCTTCCTTCCTGAGACAGAGATTTTGAAGAGGACAAGCAAGAAGTCCCAGTGACTTTTATAACTTCATCTCTGCATTTCACACAATCACTTTTGCTTTATTTTGTTCAATAGGAGTAAACTGCAAAGTACAGACCACACTCAAAGGGAGGCAAGCTGGACTCCACTTCTGGAAAGGGCAATTGTCAAAGAATTTGGAGACATACGGCAGTTCCCCCTTACCTAAAGGAACATATTCCAAGATGCTTACTGGAGCCTGAGCCACCAATGGTGCCACATCTCATATATACTCTGTTTTTTCCTATGCATTTATACCTACAATAAAACTTAATTTATAAATTAAGCACAATAGTGACTTTATAAGCATAAATAATAAAATAGAATAATTATAACAATGTATTTTAATAAGTTATGTGAATGTCTGTCTCCCTCCCAAGGACCTCATTGTACCTTTTCACTTAGAGAAAGCACTTTACAGTTTCTCTTTGCCATAAACAAATTCAGACAGTAAAGAATTCATGTTAAGATTTTTTTTTCAAATAGGCTTTTCAAACTTATTTTACCTCAGAATGCTTTTTATCCTAATATTAGCGAAGACAGTAATAATGCAGCTCATTGCTTTTTATATCTGTGGCGCTGTGCTGAGAACTGTGGCTTAGGTAGCAGCCCACACAAGAGCCTTATGGGAGGTGTCCTTATTGTTCTCTTGTATAAATGAGGAAACCGAGGCACAGAGGGGTTAGATAACAGATCCCAGAAAATAATTCAGAAATCGGCAAGTCAAGATTTGAACCCAGGTCTAGATGGTTCCAGAGCCCTTGGTTTTACAGGAAATAAGCCAGACCATCCTGGGGAGACCTTATGGAAAACATAGTCCTGACTTTTCTCTGGCACTCTCTTTTTCTTCTCTACCTATTACCCTGACAATGTACTCCTCTCGTCTCAATGCTCATGCTCCAGGCTTCTTCCCAGGCTTTCCTGGTTTAGGACAGGCTCTGAGCAAATAATCCACAAACAGGCTCCTTGCAGCCCATCCTTATTGAGTAGTTCACAACACTTCCTTAGAAAATTCACACGTTGAGAGGTGTTTTCGTTGCCTACTCAATGTTTGTAGAGCTGCTGCTACAAGTAAAAGTGTATTATGTTCTCTATGAATATAATATGCACTTTAGACATATGTACATTAAAATAAATTGCAATGTATTTATTATAAAATATTTAACATAGCATTTTTAAAGAACGTTTTATATTTTTCTCCTAAAATTTGCTTCAAAAGCCCATGCAGAGTTTCTTGACCATTTCCATGATCAATCTCCCAACTTTTAGAAGGGCCATAAACACTGCTTGGCTGATCAATGTCCACTCAGACCACATTTGAAAATGAGACCAGCCCGTGTGTGGGAAGTTCTTCATGAAGAAGGAATTCACACACTTCCTTGCTGCTGAAACAGGGGACTGACCAGGGAATTCATGCACCAGACCCCAAACTGATCTAAGAAGGGGCGGGGCAGGATTTCAAAGAGGGGAGCGTAAACTGCCAGGGTGATCGGCCCAAGGCAGTCATCAGAAGAGCTTACTTACTGCAGGGACTGCAGCGTCCTCAGGATGGGCAGCGAGGAGAAGAGATGCGCCATCTTCTGGTGCGATTCATCCACATGAAGCGGGTTAAGGCATAAGCGCTGGAGAGGTTGGGTTCAGCCCAACCTCGTTTCTCCCAGTGTTTCTGCAATGACCTAAATACTTGTCCATGCCTGAAAATGTCCAAGGCCTCATGCAGCTGGTCAGGACAGACAGTGGTCAAGACACTTTTGCATTTCTGGGTCAGGACAAAGAAAGGAGTGGGGTACCTGGGGGACTCCGCACACACACATCAGTTACTATGTCATTTACACTTTTGCATTTCTGGGTCAGGACAGAGAAAAGAGTGGGGGGCCTGGGGGACTCTGCACACACACATCAGTTACTATGTCGTTTTGTCAGAAGAACCTCAGAGAAACCTCAACACCCCTCTTGTTCATTTTGCAAGAAGCAGCTGAAAGTGGAATAAATCTGGCTTGACACCGAGGTCTGAAGCAAGTGGCAGGCAGCAATGATCTGGATAACAATTTTCCAGGCATTCCTGGCTACTCAGCATAGCTGACTACCTAGAGGAGATCTCTCACCTTGGGACTCCCTAGTGTCTTGTCTCCAAGAAAAGCCTGTCTAGCCAGAAATCTGAAAACTCTCATCCAATGACCTGCAGACATCTAGGCTAATAAAGAAATACAATGTGAAATATTAATGCCTCTCATGCAATGTGAACTTTTGACTATGTCAAAGCCCTCACTGGCTTTCTCCGCATGGTCCTGCTTTCTCTGCTTTATTGTTATTGATATTATTCAGCCAGATCCTAGACTGCTCTAAAAGTGCTGTTACTCCCACCCAGAAAGTCATTTGTGTGCATCTTATGGCCTTGGAGATGATTAAAGGATGATTTCTATTCCCTTCTAGTCATTTGTCATTTTGCCTTGGATCGTAAAAGTCTAGGGTAAGTTTCCAGGGAGATTTAATCAAGTGACTGGAGTGGAATTTTACAATGCATCTGTCCAGAAATAAAGGAACAGAAAAAGGATGGGGCTCAGTTGACATCCCTGAATTCACTCCATTTCACAATTAAGAGACCCTGATCAAGCCTCTGCACTTCTGAGTCAGGGACACTTCATCTGGGGGACGTTCTGATGATGAACTGACCTCATGGACACAGCAGGCTTGGGTATGCCTGCACATAGAGGTCACACTGTGAATTTTCTTCATTCCTCACTTTTAAAGAGAGCGCTGGATATTGTCAATGGAAGACTGTTTTCAGAAGTAGGAAAAATCTGGTACCCTCCAAGACATAGCCTCGGATATCCCCAGAAGGCCACGGGGTGCAAGGAGGGTTGGTGGCACTGGAAATGTCCCACTTCTCTTTGAAGATCATGGTCACCGTGTCCTGCAGGAGAATTTATATACAGATGGAGAACAGTGACTTCCTCTGTCTCTGGAAATTATCCTCTACCTAAGTCTCCACACCCTTGGAGCCACTGAAAAGTAAGATGGTCAAAACTAGCTCAGCCTGACTCTGGCCCACTGTAACCAAAGAGAGGCTTAGGTACTAACTCTGCAGGGGTCACATTTGGTGGTGATCGTGCATGCAGGGAGGGAGCTGATCTTTGGAGTAATAGAGCTGCGCAGCAGGGTGGGGAATGGCAAGAGGAGTGGAGCCCAGTTCCTGTGTGAACACAGATTGTGTCAGTGTCAGAGGAGATTCTGTCTACCAGGAATGCAGGTTAAGGCCGGTCTAAACCCCATGTGACTTGGAAACAGGCCTGTAGATTGTACCAGAATGGGCTAGACAGAGAGACTGCTTAGACTGAGGGGAGAGGGAGCACCAGAGTGCAAAAGAGTGAGGCGAAGGGAGGGGTGGGGAGAAGGTGGAAAGGACATTGGAGCCAAATAAGTGTGTATGTATATGTGTATATATATGTATATACATACATATATGTATGTATGTACAAGGATGGCTGGGATAATCACACTGCCGATGCCTATTGGTTTAATGGAAGGAACAGTGAAAGCTTAAATATTATTTTTTATTTATTTTTCTTTTTTCTTCTTGACCAATTTTACATGCTTATATCTGGTAATCAGAGCAACTAATTTGAAGTCAACAATATACAATATAACAACCACTGTTGAATTCCTACTGTCTTGTTTAGTGAAGCTCTGCATCATTTCTAATTTTTTTTTTGTTACTTTTTATTCTCTTTAGTGGTTTGCTCAATCTTGCATTCTTACATCCGGTAATCTGGGCAACTTCACTGAAGATGATAATATGTAATATAACAATCATTGTTAATTCCTATCATTTTGTCTAGAAATCCTGTCATTTTTATTGTTTTTGTGCTGCTTGTTTTTGTTTTCATTTTTGTCTTTGTTGTTATTTGTCATTTTTAAATTTTTTTTAAAATAAAAGAAAAGAAAAAAAGAAGATGGGATGCTAAGGATCCAAGCAAATCTTACCTCTTATGCAGCAGAAGCAGCAAGTCTCGTTGAACTGTCCCAAAGCTCACTGTGAATTCCTCATACATCAGAGTTTGTGTAAATAGTTTACGCCACCCTGAAAACTAGGAAACACTGTATTGCTCTTTAGTATTTGTGCCCTATTTCCCCTTCATTACTGTAGTTATTATTTAAATGAGTAATAGAGTAAACCTTCCAATCTGAGGATGTATCAGTTAAAGTTCTTTGATTGGAAATAAAAGAAACATGAGATCTGAAGAGATAACTGAGGAATCAGTTGCCAAACAGCAGGGAGTGAGTGGCTACCCCATCGCTAGGGCCCAAGGGTGCAAAGGATGCTCTGTCTCTAAGGATGAATGTCTCTGGGGATAAAGCTGACTTTAATGTAAACATTTTTTTTTTTTGTCCTTTTCCTGCATCTTAAAATAGCTGTGTCTGACCTGTGGTCCACAGGCTCATGACAGCTGGTAATGTGGCAGTGCAGGAGCATAAACTTGTAACATTCCTATATGATTTTTAGAAATGTTTTTCATGACTGGGTTGTGATTTGTTTGAAAAGGAACTGCATGGGTGGCCACAGAAGGCTGCCGAGGGGAGAGTGCAGTGCAGTGCTAACTCTGCCTCTACCACCAGCCACACACAGTCCAATTACAACCCGAGTGACAGGTGCTCTTGTCACTTGGCCAGTAAGCAATTAACAATAATAGTATTTCAATCTACCCACACGTGTGTATGCCCGGAAAGACAGGTGTTTACTGATATTGCGCAGACATGTGAGTGTTCATAATTATTAAATTGGGGCATGTCCTGTTCTTTCCCAAAATAATTTAATAAGTTAAAATACTTTTTAAAAAAGCATCTGGGTGTGGTAAAACACTCCTTTAATCCCAGCTACTACACAGGCTAAGAGAGGAGGATCCCAAATTCAGGACCAGTCTGAACAATTTAGAGATGCCTTATCTCAAAGTAAAAAAGTAGAGTGGACTGGGGATATAGCTCAAGGGAAAGTGCTCTGGGTTCCTTTACTAGCACCACAGAAATACATAAATAGCGGAAAGAAGGAAGGAAGGAAGGAAGGAAGGAAGGAAGGAAGGAAGGAAGGAAGGGAGGGAGGGAGGGAGGGAGGAAGGAAG